TGCAAATTCTTATTAGGCCGTTCAATCCATCCCAGAAACAGCTTCTTAGTAACGCAATTAGCATCTTCCAAGAAATATTCATCTTTCAATGCATGTGAAAAATCCTCCCATGAATTCCCATAACGATCCGTAATCGATGTAATGTGGTCCCTTATCTCCGGTATAGTGGCAAGTCCAAATAGTGCAACCATTTTCTTCTCAGAAACCCGATTTAATTCCGTTTCACGAACATAACATCTTAAATACCTTGAAATATTCCTCCCATCAAATTGATCAATTTTATTGACCACTGCTTGCAATGCTTTGGTTGCCAAAGCTTCCTTTCGATCATTGCTTTGCTGTTGCTGCATTGACATTGAGAAGGCTTGAAACAAACTAGCAATAGACGGATCCATGTGCATACCTTGTCCTTTAGAAGACTCCCCACCAGAAACTCCTCCAAAAATCCTTCAAAATTTTTATTTTCGTTTTTCATAAAAATAAAGATAAAATCAACCAAAACCCAATACCTTCTACCTCAAGCTTTCACGTGGGGTTCATCACTTATGTCGTATTACGTGCTTTCCTGCTCGAGAACGCGTCGGGCGTCTGGCTGTAGAAGGTAGTATGGAGATTCGTCGACAGTCAAGCAGTCTATCAGTTTTTGACTGCTGGAATATAAACGACTGCAATAATGTACCGTAAATCTATACAGGTGCTCTTTGACTGCTTGTCGAAGTCCTTTTTTGCCCCAGCCAGTAGGTCTCTAGACGTTACAAAGAACCCCAAACAACCCAAACTGTTAATCTTCAATACCGCTTTGTACTTACGATCTTGTATCCACTAACTGTCTTGTTAGATTAGCCCAATAAATTTCATTCACTCTGCATACTCAATCCTATAGACACCCTTTTAATCCTTCAATCACAGACGTAACTCGATTTCACAAAACAGTCAAGAGTATTCAAACCCACTTCATTAAAAATTCCGATTCACCATTACAATACTGACTTCAGCAGCGATTGCCTCAGTCTTCACAAAACTCTACGAAGAAAAAAAATCCAAATTCTATGTCTTTCCTTCTTCGACCCGAAGCATGAAGCTCCTCTCTCTAATCCCCTTGATCTTCAAAAACCTCCAATGAAACCGAACTAGTAACCTTGCAAAAACTTGAAAACCCCCCTGATCTTCAAAAACCTCCAATGAAACCGAACTAGTAACCTTGCAAAAACTTGAAAACCCCCCCTAATCTTCAAAAACCTCCAATGAAACCGAACTAGTAACCTTGCAAAAACTTGAAAAACTCCCTGATCTTCAAAAACCTCCAATGAAACCGAACTAATAACCTTGCAAAAACTTGAAAACCCTCCTTTCCCCTGATTTCCCTTCAAACTTATTCTTCCTCTAACCTTATCCTCTTGAATTCCTTCAATCTTCCATCTTGGATCCGAAATTGGCTCCCGCCATCAGAGCTTAGATCCAAAATTGGCTCACGTCATCAAGGCCTTCTCCTCCGTTTTTACCTTTAAGAGATCCATTTGCCGCAAATAACGTTCCCTGGATGTTCCCGTAATTGGGTCTGCATTGGATTGCCCGGCCAATTCAAGTCTCATATTGGATAAGAGGACCCGGATTGGATTCTCGAAATTGGATCCAATTGGCTCTTCGAATCCGTCGTGTAAATTGGTCCTTCTCTTCCTGCTGACTCCTGTTATTGGAATTGAATGGAGCATTTCAATATGCCCCGGCTGACTGTAACGGGGTGACTAAACCTGGCCACTCAGTATTTGTACAGGAGTTGGTTGTTGCTCCCAATATTCGAGGTAACTGAATATTAATAAAATTTCCCTTCCTTTTTATTTTCACTGTATACTCGTGTTACAACACAATACGACAATGGATCTTCCAATCTCAGGTTCTTATGACTCTATATTCGTGATAGTAGATTGTTTTAACAAGATGGCACATTTTATAACATGTACAAAATCTATTACAGGTGAAGAAACAGCTAAGTTCTTTCTTGACAATATCTATCGCTATCATGGATTACCCAAGGATATTATATCAGATAGGGAAACTCAATTTGTATCAAGATTTTGGCGGACTCTTTTCAAGATTCTAAAAGTAGATATAAAACTATCTTCATCATTCCATCCTCAAACTGATGGACAAACGGAGCATGTTAATCAAGTTTTGGAGTAATATTTAAGATGTACCATTAACTACTAACAAGATGATTGGACAACTCTTTTGCCATTGGCAGAGTTTTTTTATAATAATATGGTACATTTTTTTACAAAACAAACACCTTTCTTTGCTAATTATGCTTATCATCCATGACTTGATACTTTTGACTTTTCAAAAGTTGATAATCTTGCTGCGAAAGATTTGGCGATTCATTTGTCAGAGCTACATGTAATGATGAAGGCATAGTTAAAAGAGGCTCAAGAACAACAAAAGGTCAATGCGGATGTCTATCAAAAGGAACAACCACCATTCCACTTGAGTAATAAGGTATGGCTACTTCATCGCAATATCAAGATCACTCGTTCTTGTGATAAGTTTGACTATTTAAGGCTGAACTATTTTCTATTTCTATACAAATCAATCCAGTGGCATATTGTTTACATCTATCGAAATCAATGAAAATCCATCTAGTATTCCATGTGTCTTTTTTTGAACCATACAAGACAATGGACATAGCAAGAAGACGACAAGTTCCACCTCTTCCTATAGAAGTAGATAATAATGAAGAGTTTAAAGTAGAAGAAGTCTTAGATTCAAGGCGGCGCCAATATAAATTAGAATATCTTGTCCATTGGTGCGGATATGATATTAGTGAACGCACATGGGAGCCAATAAAGAATCTTACAAATGGAGCAAAGGCGGTGGAGGCTTTTCATTGACGACATCTATCAAAATCAAGATGAAAACCTTCTTTATAAAAGAAACAACATCTAGGTAAGATAACATTCTACTTTCAATCCTTGTTTATAGCTTCATTGTAGTTGTGACGCTCAGGAGATGGAGAACCAACAACCAGCGGATTCGACTTAAGAGCCTTCATTTGTTGACATGTCGGACGAGACATTACGATTGTCACAACCTTCAAGATGACGCAATTGAGATGAAGATCTTCAAGAATGACATGTTCTTCCTCGAATAGATGGCGAGATACAATGCATTTAGTATCACGATTTGAGAAAGAACTCCCGATGTTTGGTGATTTTACTAGAGGTAGGAACAACTCTTGATGGTGTTCCAAATGTTCTATTTGAAGGAAGTTATGAAGGCCTCAACAATGATCAAATAATTGGGTGGTCTTCCTACCCTAGTATGGGACACTACTGATGGTTGGAGGCCCTATCAATCATCTTCGAAGAGAACAAAGATCAGAGTATGTGGCAAATACAATTCGTTGCATCATAGATTTCCTCAACATATGATTACCGCTCATTGTAGAACTCGTCCCTAGAAAGGGGGGTAATGTTATGGATATACACATGTAAGCCAATAATTACATATATAAATAGGTAGAAGTAAGTAAAACTAGTTAACAATAAGTTAATTCTATAGTATTTGATATGGAACCTTCTTAGAATCTTCATAGATGCTGCTTTGACTTTATAGGTGTCTTTAATTGACTTTTTGGATTAGAAACGTGGTCAACAAGTTGGCTATGTGCCACACATGTTGTTAGCTTGAAGACCAAGCTAACTATATGGCCCATACGTAAAAAAACTTGCCTTGTAAGTCAAGGCATGTGTCCTACAAAGTCAACACATATTGGAGGTCCTATAGAACGTCGCCATGTAATCCCTAGTATGATAGTATATATAGAGACAAGAGTGAAGCCTTCTTCACTCTTGTCAACTCCTTTCTTGTTTCTAGTCTAGTTTCAAGGATTTCTAGTTTTCTTGTCTTTTGGCAATAGCCATTTCAGTTTCTTTTTCAATATACATAATTATTTATTTATATTTTGTTACATAATTGTTTAATTATATTTTGTTACATAATTGTTTATTTATATTTTGTTACATAATTGTTTAATTATATTTTGTTACATAATTATTTATTTATATTTTATTACATAATTGTTTAATTATATTTTGTTACATAATTGTTTATTTATATTTTGTTACATAATTGTTTAATTATATTTTGTTACATAATTATTTATTTATATTTTGTTACATAATTGTTTAATTATATTTTGTTACATAATTGTTTATTTATATTTTGTTACATAACTGTTTATTTATATTTTGTTACATAACTGTTTATTTATATTTTCTTTGAGTGAAGGCTCACTTGTCTGAATTGCTTTTTTCATTGAGTTCTTGTCCTTGACATACATACAAGTTCTAATACATATTTATAATTATTTTCAAAAATAGAGTATATATAACTTATTTCATATATATTACTCCACTATAATTAATATGATATTTAAACATATATTCTTACTAAATGTACTGAAATTTTTATTGATAATTTTTTTTCTTATTATTTCATTATACTATGCAATATATCATAATGTCTTGTACAAGCTACACTTTACCAAAAATTTAATTTTAAATCATTAAAATTTTAGTTTTTATATCTTTTTTGTTTAGCATTATGAAATTTGATATATCAAGTATCAAATTACTTCAGAATATTTTTTCTCATTGGTTTCATAGTAATGTTTAAAAATTAGATATTAATTAATGTTTAGATATTTTACTTTTAGAAATGAAACTATATCAGTATTTCTCAAAAAATAATATTTATGTAATATTTATATAGTTCAAGTTTTGGTCAAGGAAGTCATTAATAGCACTAGAAGAAACAAAGTCTAATTCAAAATTAAGCTTACATATTATACAAAAAGATTATTGAAGACATTCCTATGCCACGTGTAACGTATCCTTTACTCCAGCCGCAAGCACAGTGCCGTGAGTTTAGAAAGTGTGACGCAGATTGTGCTGTGCACCTTCATCAAACTGCCAGTTAGCTGGTTGGGGGAAGGATTATCTACCTGGTATTCTCGGAGCGGACTCTGATACCGTAAACACAGGTGCATTATTTTCGAATTCGGAGGACCTGGGAAGAGCACCATACCTCAACGACAGCTTTTCTCGTAGAATGCAAGGTGGGTGGTCTTGGTGCGGTATCTCCCTGGCACCTGAGTTGAAACAGTGTTGATCTTTCGGATCGTTTCAGAATTTGGATTCTCGGGTTTGATGCCAACAGGCAAAGATTAGTTGCAGTTCTGGGGAGTTTGGGGAGGATTAGTTTCGTGGGGTGGACGAGGAGCTGACGGTCGCATTTGACATCGTTTAAGATTGGATCCACAGTGTTTATAAAACATTCTTCGTAGCCATGGCTGCATTTGCCGTGCCCACGTTGAAAAATGTCGAAGATTTTCAGGTTTGCGTCCCCTCGATTGGATTTTAGCTTCCCTGAAACTACAGTGGACATATAACCTCCCAGCACATTCCCTTAACTTGTGCAGTGTTGGTATATTTGGAGTTGTGAACTATGTGGTCTTGTAATCCTGCAGGTGTATTACGTCGCGACGGTGTTGGTAGTCATTCTATTGGTGAGAAGGTTGCTTACTTGGCCACACCAGCCGCCAGGGCCGCCAGGTCTGCCGTTAGTTGGCCACATGCATTTCCTCGGCGCAAACCCACACATCTCTTTATGGAAACTGGCGGACAAATACGGCCCATTGATGTCCTTACGTCTTGGTAACAAACCATACGTTGTTGCGACGTCCCCCGAAACGGCTAAAGAATTCCTAAAGACTCTGGATGCAAACTTCGGGTCGCGGCACTATTCATCCCAGAGCCAATATTTGCTTTACGGCGGTCAAGGTGCGTTGATTCCGAACCAGTAGCAACTACTACCAATGCCTCAGCGATTCTTTTTGGCTGACAGACAGTCCTCAGGCTCATGCATTGTTTCGTGGGTCAGATGTTGCGTTCCAGGAATCGAGTCCAAGCTGGCGGAACTTAAAAAAGATCTTCACGATGGAGCTCGCCAGCCCGGCGCGTTTGGAAGCGTCCCGACACATCCGAGAGGAGGAAATGATCGTCCTACTGCGCACCATTCACAGCAAAGGCGAGCTGGAACTGAAATCTCAGCTGATCGACATGATTTCACACGTTATATCTCGGATGGTCATCAACAAACGGTTCGATGATTCCGTAGAATCAGATTTTCCGACCCTGGTGCAAACACACTTCCGGTTGGCTGGGGCCTTCGTTCCGGGGGATTATATCCCCGCCGTGAAGTGGCTCGACCTGGGGGGATTCGAGGCCCAGATGAAGAAGCAGAAAGAGCGCATGGACGCGTTTATTGATGACATCCTGGTGCAGCATCGAGAACGGAGGGCCAAAGGACCCGTGCCGATGAAGGAATATGACATGGTCCATGTTCTTCTCGACCGAATAGAAACGAAAGACGACCAAATCCAGCTCACCGAAACCCATGTGAAGGCTCTCGTACTGGTAAGAGCAGTGGCAGAGGTTTCGCTTAGTTTTTTGTTAGAATTTTCGATCAATGAACTAAGCCATTCCTTGGTGGTCTTGCGTTTGCTGCTCCAACCAGGACGCGTTCCTGGGAGCGTCAGAAACAATTATACTGACATCGGAGTGGGCAATGGCGGAACTCCTTCGACATCCTTCACTGATGGCCAAAGCGCAAGCTGAGCTCGACGCCGTCGTCGGCCGGGACCGCATGGTGACGGAGTCCGATCTCCGTCACCTCACTTACCTCAACACAATAATCAAAGAAACATTCCGACTCCATCCTGCAGCTGCGCTTCTACTGCCTCGCGAGTCCGCTCAACCCTCGCAAGCGTTTGGCTACAATTTCCCCGCAAAGACGCGCGTTCTTATCAATTGCTACGCAATCCACCGTGACCCGGCCATATGGCACGATCCTCTGGTCTTCAACCCGGACCGGTTTCTGCAAGCGGATCTCAAGGACGTGGACGTCAAGGGGCGGCACTTCCAGCTGCTACCCTTCGGCGCAGGCCGGCGTGTGTGTCCAGGGTTGTCGATGGGGATCCTGACCGTGCAATTCATCTTGGCGAGCCTGTTGCATTCCTTCGACTGGTCGTTGCCGGGTGACATGAAGCCAGAGGATGTAGACATGACGGAGATATATGGGTTGACGCTGCCGAGAGCCGCTCCGTTGCCTTGCGCCGCCAAGCTTCGGCTGCCATCGCACTTGCTCACCACCGCCCAGAAACCATAACTCCTCCTGCTCAATACCTGATGTGTGTACAGGATGCACAAACCCGGTATATGTCCGTTCGATACTGGGTTTGTGGTGTGTCGATTGATAACTTGGTTACCCTCAGAAACGTGATGGCTGTTGTACTGGTATGAGCTTATGATACCCTGGCTATATACCCGGTTGACATGGCAGATTTCTTGCTGGGGTTGTGTATACTGTTGCAACTGAATGCATGAATGAAATTTAGCAAGGCTTTTTATATTTTCCACTTTGAGGAGTGTGTGTGTGTACATTTCTATATATGTCTTCTATCTTGACCCTTTAGCTTAGCTGTTGATTAGTTTTTTCCCTGATTTAGTGGTGTTGAGTTTTATGTTTTAGTTTAAACAAGAATGAAATAAAATCAATTTATGGTTGATGTTATTATCATTCTTTTTGTTTTTTTAATTTTTTTAATATTTTTTATTTATTTATTTTTGGTATTTTATTTAATTTAGAAATTCCTCCATGTATTTGATTTTATTTTGTTGTTAATTTTTTGTTATCTATTTTTACTTTGATTGGATTAAGATATATAAGTAGCATTTCTTTAAGAAGTGTTAAAAAGTTTCATGTTCTTGGTTTAAATCTTTATATGTTTTTGAATGTTGTTAAAAGAGTATTTACATACATAGTTAACATCTATTAGATATTATATGGATTGTTGAAAAGTAGCCATATATTGTGGATGGTAATCAATATTTAGTTAAATTGTTCTTGCATCTATCATAGCTTACCAAGCCATCATATGATCTAAGAGGACAAATATTTACATTTCAATAGTTGAACTAATTGGTCGTGTATTCACACTAAAAAGTGTATTTTCTTAGATTGTAGACTTATGATATGTCAGAGCTTAAGAGAGTTTTAGTTCAAGTGAGACCATAGTCTTATGTTGTATAAGAGAGGTTTGTTTCAAGTGATTAGTTTCCTTCAATCCTTGATGATTGGACAATGAGCTCAATTATATTTTCTTTACTAAAATTTTGTTCTAACAATATAATTTCTTATGTTTTATTATAAATGAGTCAAAAGGCTATAAAAATGTTTTATATAAGTTTTTTACATTTAATAAACCATTATATAGACATCTTTTAACTTGGATACTTAGTCCATAAGCACCACAATTTTTACAAAGTTTATATTAAAAAAATAATTGTAAAAATTTTTAAATTGAAAAATATTTAATTGAAATTATTACAATATATATATATATATATATATACAGTGACAAACAAAACCGAGTACAAAATCTGAAGTGCCAACTTTCAAGAGCAATTACAAAAATTTCAATGATTGCTTTATAAATCTGAAAGTTACATGGAATAATACACACAGTCTTGTACACATGTACAAAGTTGCACATCAAATTGATAACTAAACATCCTTCTACAAAGTCAAATCAACAACTATGTCTTGTACTCAGTATTGTTCAAAGAAAATCTTCAAACTTTAATATTTAGTCCAATAACCTTTTGCTTCCAAAATAGCTGAAATCCTGCTTAGCATACTTTTGTATAGTTTCTCACAATCTTTTGCATGAAAACTAGGATAAATACTACAAACATTCTCCCATAATTCTTGAACACCTCTTGGCCTTGGAGTGACTTGGCTTAAACGCTGTTTGAGAAGGGCCCAAAAATGTTCCATTGGATTCAAATCTGGAGATTGAGCTGGCCATCGAAGGAGCTGAAATGGCTGTGAAGAGAGCCAAAACTGAACACTTTTTGCCGTATGTTTGGGATCATTATCATGTTAAAAAACCATCTTAGTAGGATCTAAGTTGTAATTGTGTGTGGTACTTTGCAAGTAGGTTTCTAAAATTTTTTTGTACAAGTGTTGCTCCATTCTACCTTCAATTTGATACCAAGCACCCAGCCCAAAAGCAGTCATACAACCCCAAATCATAATTGAACCACCACCATGTTTGACAGTTTGACTAACATGTTTAGGTCCAGGTCGTTCTCCTTCTCTCAACCAACACCAAGACCTACCATCTGAGTTGATTAGGTTAATTTTTGTCTCATCACTGAAAATAACCCGTCTCCACTCATCAACGGTCCAATTTTTGTATTTATGAGTAAAACTCAACCTTGCAAGAAGATGTCTTTTGGCAAGTAGAGGCTTCTTTTGTTGCATACAAGCACCCAAACCAGCTTCTCTCAAACCAAGCCTCAAGGTGATGTCTGAGAAGTGTTTACCTGTTTTTTCTTGAAGTTGTTTTGCAGCTGCACTTGTCGTTTGAGACAACCTGCAATGACAAGGTGCACACCAAGTCGCTTCTCTTGCTCTCCTAAAACCTTTGGACGTCCTCTTCTTTGCTTTTCTATTTCACGTCTGTGTGCTTCTACAACACTTTTCTCATAAACCCTACCTCAAATGATAATGAGATTTTTCATCCATGTAGAGGACTGGATGAATACACACAATAAAAAAGTAATTCTATCAATTGACTTATGTGTCAGTTGGAAGGATCAATGAACTATGAGTGTTCAGATTTTGTACTCGGTTTTGTTTGTCACTGTATATATATATCTTATATATTAGTATAGATATAACATTAATGAATGAATATACTTGCAAATTAATTTGGAATCTTTTAATTTTTTAAATTAAACTCTTCATTAACAGAAAGTAATGAATAAAAATAAAGAATAGTGATTTCAAAAGAGTTAGATTTTTTAGGTAAATAGAAGTAAGAAGAAATAAGTTATTGTAAGTAGGAATATAAAGAATAAAGAGTAATTTTTATAAAATATATTTAGAAAATTTTTTCTACACACAAGATGAATCTATACGTAACTTTGGATATACTATATGGCTATATGAAATTTTGTTAGAAGTTTTCACATTTTAAAATCCACTATAGAAACATCATACAACTTAAGTGATATGCAAGCAACATAGATTCTAAGAAGCTTCTATTTGATCTTATTTTTTATAAGTATATATAGAGGTAAGATTATGACTATTCTTAATATTTTTCTTACTTTTCTAATAATCAAATGTCAATTTAAGATTCTTTATTTTTTTATTTTAAAAGATAATATATATATATATATATATATATATATATATATATATACATTATTTTTTATTTCTTTTTAATTATGAATGTGTTTATTGATTTTTAGCAAATATATGTAGATTTGTATTTCTGACAATATGTTCAATTTTATACATTCTACAACAATAAAAGGTTGTGTGACATTTTTCTAATGTAATTTTAGAAATTACATCAATATAAGTTCTTTTTTTTTATATTTTAATTAGTTGTACTAACTAACCTTTAAATTACATATCTACCAAAAGAAGTATTAATTAAATAACATTAATCAATAATAGTTAATGTATAGTTTATTGTTTGTATAGATGTGTATAATTTTATAAAGATTTGAATCAATGTTTATAAATAAAAATCAACATTCATTCGATATTTTTTTAGAATAGAATTTAGATTTAATTTATTTAAAAAACACCTTAAAGAATCCAAAATTCTAAATATGACAATGTAATTACAAAAAACAGAAGTTTTAGAATTATAAAATTTTAAGAAATTATATTGTTTCTTAGAAAATTTAAAATAATTTTTTTTCTTGTATATTAAATATATATTACTTTTAATGAAAGATCTTAATAAGAGATTTACTTTTCTTCATCCAAGAAATAAAGGTGTGGCCTTTTTAATTTAATAGACTTGTAATTTAACCAAATTTAATTTTTAGTTTTTAGTTTTTTATATTACAAATAATTTTTTTAGATATAATAAGCTTTTTATATCTCTTAATAGAAATTATAATAGAAAATAAAGATATTACTTTTTATGATGATTTTTTTATTAATAATTTTTAATTAATAATAAATCATAAAAAAGGTTTAATTTGTAAATAAATATAATTTTTGAACTAAAGTATATCCAAAATGACTTGATTGAGTAAGTGTCTATCATTGGAAATAATATTTTATTAACATTTAATATAAAGGTTTTTAAACTTATATAATTTTATGTTTACTTAATAAATATTAAATAATATTAGTTTAGATAAATTTTATAATATATGAACATTTTTTCTATCAAAAAATTTATTTAATTTTATTTTTTAAAAAAATTTATAAATATTCATTACTATTAATCTCGTCTTTTTATCTTTTATTTTGGATTCTCCTTATAATAATCTGCAAATTTTTCAAATTTTAAAATCTAAATAGATAATAATTTTTTAAAAAAATTTTAAGAAAATTATGACATCTTATAGAAAATTTGGTAACTTAATTCAAAAATTGAGGATTAATTAAATTTAGGATTAAGTTTTAGGATTTCATTTATAGTTCATGAATTATTTTCTAATAATTTTAATATCATACTATTTAATATTGATTGTTACTTCTTTAAATTTTAATGAATGTATAAACAAATAAATAAAAATTTATATTCCAAAAAAAAACCTTCAATAGTACTTTGTAAATTGAAGACATTTAATAGTTGGATTTTATTTTTGGCAATTTCGTAAATGTAATAAGTTCATGCTTATAATTAAATTCAAAGTCCTATAAATTTTTATTTTAAAGATTTTAATCAAAAACATTTAAAATTTTATTCTATATGCAAAGTTTTCAATCTTTGAAGATATTTTTTTGCATCAATGATTTAATCAAAAGATAACAATAATAAATAAAAACAACAACAATCTTAGCAAAAATATTGTTTTAAGTGAAATAAATCTATAAAAATCCACAATAAAATCCCATGTTATATTAGACATCCATCTTCTGAATGCAATCCAACTTTCTACATCAAAAATTACTGAACAAGCTATATTTTCATAAAAACTTTCACTGTACATCAAACTTCATTCCAACTTTTTTAAAATAAAAATATAATATGCATATATCTTCACCATGAGTTGTTTAATTAAATTAGAACTACAATAATCTAAAAAAAACCTTACTCCCATTATTATCAAGGACATACATATTTGATCTAATATTTACTTCTATGAATAAGTAGAAGTAAATAAAAGTAGATTTATTTCATAATACTTTCTAGACAAGCTTCCTAAAAGCTTCATAGACATTGCTTTGACTTTATATGTATTTTTGGTTGATAAATGGATTAGAAACTTGGTCAAAAAATTAATCACATGTTAATAGCTTACAAGACAAGCTAATTATGTGGCTCTTATATAAAAAACTTGCCTTATAAATTAAGATATATGTCTTATAAAGTCAACACATTTTAGAGGTCCTGTAGGACATTACCACATAGCTCTTAATTAAGAGTATATATCGAAGCTAGAATAAAACCTTCTTCACTCCTATCAATACCTTTCTAGTCTTTTTATCTTTCAAAATAGTCATTCTAGTTTAATAATATATCATTCTAGTAA